GGGTCCACGTGGTTGAAAGGGTTTGAATATTTCGTCCATCTACGGTAGTAAGGCACTTGTTACTAGAAGCGATGCACTTGTTCCTAGTAGCTTCTTGTTCCTAGTAGTAAGGCCAGGAGCCCCTAGTAGCGTCCTTGCTCCATACTAGCGATGCCCTTTGCTCCTAGTAGATTCCTTGCACCATCCTTCTCGGTACGGCCATGTAGGGTTGATGCTTTGTGACGTAGGTAGTCCCTTTCCGGAATCCTCCGCCAGTTGAAGATTAACGTTTTTGCGGAACCTGTTACTATAGCGTGGGGCCTGGTGGGAAGCGTGGCTAAGCACTGCTGAGATGGCAAGTTGTTTTACCATCCTTCTCATTTGTTTGAACTCTTGCTGAATCAGTTCAATATGTTCAATCCCCTCAAGCATCACATTATGATGTGAGAGTGTTCAGCAAACATTGCAAGGGCAACTAAACTTACAATCCCTCCTTCCATCCCTTTCCCATCTCCCCCGGCACCGTGCGTGTCAATGGGACGTACGGCTGCAAGCGCTGTGCTCGTCGTAGCGAAGGTGGAAGAAAATGCAAGGAGGGACCAGCGCCCAAAAGAAGTGCCACCACAGAAACCTGGTGTCACAGCAAACGCCGACACAATTTTATCAGTATGCAAATCTTATTCTTACGTTCATGTCATCTGAGTCTGCTGTGCTATCAGTGGACCAAGGTGCATTATTTGGGGCATGTATTTCTGACAAACGCATCTTCATCAGCTTGCCAGTAGAGCGAAATAGCCCCTAAATTGTTTGTTTTCTGACAATGGTTCCTGCATGCTCTTGCAAAACCACGCAGCCTCTGAAATAGTTTCTTCGCCTTCCTTCCTCTTGATCACGCACGAGCCATCCTCCAGAATCTCTTGTAGATCAGATTCGGCCTGCACTGCCAGTGGGAGCGGTGCTGTTTGTTTCTTACCGGTGGTCTGTCTCGACATAGTCGTGCACTCTGCTGCCTAACTTCTCTTGATCCAAGGAATGATCAAAGTAGAGCAGCAAGTAACATTGGACTGGACAGTACTGGAGGTCTACTGTATGAAAATACCTCATGTCTTCAATATGTCTAGCTTCTGCATCGATTGCAATGTGATTCGTGTTGGTTCTTGTTGATCTCATCGTTGTCTATTGATCCACGCATGCCTCCGAAGCACCTGTCCACCGTCAGTCTCCAAACGTTGCCGCAGACCCCGACGCCTTGGCGGTGTAGCGCGGGTCGGAGGCTTTTTGTCGCATTAGCTGCGCCAGCCATTCTTCGTCGCGGTACATGGAGGCCCCGTGGCTGTCGCCAAACCTTTTTTCGGTGCCAACAGACAGAAAAGCAGGGCACCCAAAAAGCTGCTTCAAGAAGTGACTCGAGTGGATTGGAAGTGTCTTGTTTGATGATCTTCTTGATGCTTCAACTTGGAATTCCTTTACAAAAATGAATGACGATGTGTAATTACCAATGCGACTGATGAAGACCATGCGGAATCTACTGATTTGACGTCGTCATAAACTAAGAGGTGCTGCCAAACGCAAAAGTCTTGCATCCCAGGAGCATTTTTCCGATCTTTGTGTCTTCAGCTTTTCCACGAAACCTAATTCATAGGTCATCACATGTGTCGCAAAATTAAGCTTTAGACTCTTCAACTCTCGTCACAACTTGCTGAATGCTCTGCAAAATGTGTCTCTGTCTGTCCTTGTTCACATTGCATTAATATCCAAAACAAACAGCATTGCATGATATCAACAAACTGTGAGCCAAGACTGTGAGCCAACTGGACCGTCCTTTCAACAATTGGGCCAAATGGACGTTGATCGGGGCCTGCAAGAAGCAGCAACCATTTCTCTGTGTGTCCAAGCGATGTTGCCTTTGCTTCGAAGGCACACATGAGTGACGCGGACATTGATGCCGTCAGCTCTCAAGCCCAAGGCATGCAGGATTGCATCCGCCGCACTAAGACCTGCACCTGGTCAAGCAGACAGAGTATTGCCTCCAACCTAAAAGCGATGGCCTCCAACCTAAGAGCGATGGCCTCCAACCTACTAGCAATGGCCTCCAATTCCTTTCCAAGCAAGCAAACTCCAATGGACGTGCCTTGTGGCTTGGAACCAAAAGTCATGCTTCACGTCCATGCTGCATGCTAAAAGCATGGTTACAGTAGTCCAGGAACCCCCGATGCTGCCCAAGCGCCTACTACAAGCAAATGCCCGATCCTGGCCATTAGCGCCTCACAGCATCAGAAGCGAACAAGAGCAGCATGACTTCCCACCCTAGGCCACATACAGAGGCAATGCTGTGGCATCATGGGATTTTTGGTTGGAGCTGTGCAAAGGCCTTTGGACAACTTTCTCTCTCCTGGATCACTTGTTCTGGTCTCCTGACCTGCTTTTCTTTCAAAGTACACGCAAACAAACAGTTCATACATTCAAACCACAAGCTGTAAACTGTGGATCTGCAGCCTTTCACTTCAAGAATGTAGTGTCTGGAAACAGTATCCAAGTATGTCTATTCGTCTTCCAAAAACATATTGAGCACACCACGTGACCTCTCCAGCGCAAATCCCACCAAACACCGTCATCTACAGTGTTCTAGACTGTCCAAAAAGGTAGCGTCTCCACCCTGCCTGGTTGTGGATGGGTGGTCGGTGCGTGACAAAGTCCAAGTCTTCTCCAGTAATGTTGAGCCGTCGGGGCACATCAGCGGTGCCTGTCGCCAGAGCAACAGCTTTCGCCTGAAGAGGGATTCGGAATCCTGGAATCCTGGATCTCATGGACATTAAAGAGTTCTCTTTCAGAAAGAATACCTGCTTTTGCTGGCAGTTAGGGGATGTAATTACTGTAAGAGGTATAATATATGTATATCGATATTGGAATCTAAAGTTGTTAAGGCAGGCCATTTCACTGCGTGTTGCTTGACGAGTACGTCTAATTTAAGGGGTATATAGTTGAGTCCAAGATCCTGTTGGCAGGTAAGAAGTCAAAGGGGTACTTTGAGCAAGGGTGGGGTACTCATCGAACCATAAAAGCCAGTTAGCAAAAACATGTAGTATTGCAATTTACAGTAAATGTAACCAATGGATAATTCCAACGTGAGCCACAATAATGACAATAGAACAGCTTCAGCATGTGTTGGATACTGACCACGTTGGTTTTGCACGATCTCTGCCTTGATGGTTTTGCACTCGGAGTCGGCGTCCTGCCATCAAACAGCGTCAACTTGGCGCCGAGGGGGAGGTTCAAAGGATTTCAAAGGCCTTCCACTTGATTCTTAACCTCTTAAGAGCAATTCCCAAGTGAATGAGAAAACAGCAGAAGCATGGTTGAATGGCGCACTACTGTAGTTTCACCTGTTGTGGTGCACTTGAGAATAAACTCACTAGTGAAAGGGATCTCGGACGACAAATACGGGAACATCTTCCAAGGACCTCTGGAAGGCTTGACAAACAGCCTCTTTATGCAGTATCAGTATATATATATACTGTACTTATACATAATCATATTTGTCATAAACATTGATAACCTATTTCCCCTTAGTGGCAGGATGGATGATCTCCCACACCCACATTGCAGCTCTGCAATTGGTCAAACCGGCTGTCCTCTCCAGGCATCGAGATCCTGATCAAAGTCCGAATACATTCGCAGGTCTAGAGCACTATCTTTCAACCCCGAATGACCCCAGGCATATTTGTCAGGCAAGATTCGAGTGTGAGAAGATGCATCCAACATACAAACTACAAATTCACTACCTGGCTAAATGCCAAGGGTCTGTAGACGCCAGAAACCATCCTCGTCACGTTCCATCGATTGCACTGTTCCCTGCACAAATTCGGTTGACGTTAACCGCCGTGCGTAAGTGCTATAGTATTCCTTGGCTGGTTTTGAGCAGAATGAGAACATACGAGAACGAATGAAATAGACTGCGGGCAGGAGACATTGCGGCAAAGGAGAGCAATTCACAGTAGAACCATGATGAACCATGTATAGAATAGAACCAACAATCAACCAATTCTTGTCAAGAAGGAAACCTCCAACTGAAACATGGTTTTCATGCGGGTGGAGCGACTAAAGAAGCACTGTTCATAGGAATGCCGCAATCCTGATTCCGTCGCAGCATTGGCGGGCAGAAACTAAATTAAAAGGCCAGTGAGGCCTAGTAGGAAAGATCTAGACGTGTTGCTTCAGAAACCGATCCTCGGAATGTGTCGGGCCTGCCTTCACCTCTCGCATCCTTTCCGCGGTGGCTCAAAAGGGATTTACCAACACAACCTTGCAGCACTGGGCCCAGCCTTTTTTGGATCTTCGCTAGAATGCCAGCACCAAAAAACGATCGGCTTGAATCTGAAGAAATACTGCAAATATATGTGATTCAAAAACTATAACTATAAAAAAAAATATGTATATATATATATTTATAAAACACATAACCTGTCCTGGCTCCAAATATTGAACATTGATGGGGTTCATTAGGGTTTTCGCCAGCTATTGCCTGGTCAACCACAGCAGCCGTCTGTCGAGCCACTGCCACCAGCCAGCGTGGTACACGTGCTGCAGCTAGTGCCTCCGAACTGCCATAGTAACGGTGCAGCTCATGAGCCTGACAAACAAGGCAAACAGCCAGGAGACCCACTCGGCGTACGGAACTGATCGCCCCAAGCCCTGGAGAAACCAAAGTGAAAAAATTGCCTGGGCCTAAACAAAACGGGTACTGGTGAGCAGCCAAGCCTCATTTGAAGAACCTGTTGCAAAGGCCTCGTTTGTTTGTAAATGTAGGAAGAAAGAGAAGTGAAGAAAAGAAGGATAACTTATCGAAGAAGAAGGGCTCCAAGCTATGACGCAAACATCCAGGAACATCCGTGTAGGAAGACGACGAGGGAGAAGGAAGTGTTCCCAACTACGACCAACGCCTTCAGGGACACACCATAAATAGTGGGGCCCCTGGATATTGATGGATATTGCATCCAGGGACACCCAAGAGAAAGGAAGGAAGGAAGGAAGGCAGGCAGGCACGCAGGCAGGCGGCAGGTAGAAAGAAAGACAAAAAGAGAGAAACAAAGAAAGACGAGGTTAGGCGCTCCCAGCTACGACAGAAGCGTCCAGGGGCGCACCGTAGAGAGGGGGGTTTGTGGGCCACTGGGCGCTACATCCATTGCTCTAGCCACACAAACTCCTGTAGACCTTTGAACTTGGATGCGGGCCATGTCCTCCTCCATGGTCAGAAGCCAGGGCTGGACTTGCACAAAGTACAAATCCATGAAGTGAGGGGGTTTGAGCAAAAAACTCGTCCGTCGTCAATTAAAACGTTGCCGGTCGCCATTGAACTTGTAGGTGATGTTGCGGTGGTCAATGTCAACCATGGATTTCGCTGGGAAAGTCTTGGCTTGGATAGCAATCAACTTACCACATTCTTGGCTCATCAGTTTGTATACATTTGTGCTATGAGCTTGCCAGTTCTGAGGCCACGAGCCTGATCCTGCGAGAGGATCGCGCAAGCACACCGGATCCTGCAGAGACCGCACTACCGCATTTGAGGACACCTCACACAGAAGCTGCTTCCCGTACTACATTTGCACTGAGCTTGCCAGTTCATGAGGCCACGAGCCCGATCCTGCGAGAGGGTCGCGCACACCGGATCCTGCGGAGATTGTAGCTGAAACCAATTTACACCGAAGCTGCAGAAATTGTCAGCGCTTTCATGACTGAGAAGACACCTTGCCTAGCTCCGCATCTAAAGCTAGGTCTACCAAGATTCTTTGTATGAATGGCGGCCAACAGGCAGCCACACAATGAATACGGTGGGGTTGCAAGTCACTGAACCTTGCTATGGCTGACAAGTAGCCACAAGGCCCAGCAGCGGGGCAGTGGCCGCCACATCACAAGCAAAGGCAGGGAAGGGTCAAGAATGCTCGAGAAAGATTATATAGCACGCTTGGCGTTCGACCCAGTTGCTCCGAGGTAGTTGTCAATTAATAGGGAGCAGGGCTTGAAGCAATACCTTGTCGGACCTTGTCCTGGTTGATAGCCAGGATCAGTAGCAAGATGAGTTCGAGAACTCGAAGAAAACCTGTAAAGTGAGATGGACTGCTGGACGTTCAGTTTCTGGTAGGAGGCCATCCTAATTTGCAGTTGGAAAGGGAAACGGGCGTAACGGGCCTCATAGAAATTCACCATGTCCCTTCCCAGCTGCTGTTCAACATAACATGCCAACAAGATGGCTCCAAAGACAATATTGAAATTCTTCTTGCGCATGTCAAGAAGACACACAAGAATCGCAGCATTGTGTTCCCCAGGCGTGCTGATGTTTTTGGCTGCCCTGAAAATGAAATCAACGAATGAATGAATGAATGAATGAATGAATGATTGAATGAATGCATGAACCCCCACAATCAACTGTGAACCAGGACTGAAATCACAAACACTGTATTGCGCCCAATCCCCGGTTTGAGAAAGCCATATCATATAGGAAGGCTTTCTCTTTCTGCCCAGCCCGCTGTAGAAGATATTTGGGCACCTAGATTTGATCCATTCGTGAAGTGGTGTCACTGTGATACCACTCAAAAAGTTTGGCGCCAAAAAGGGCTTCACACCAATCCGAATGCAAATCAGAAAGTCGCACAAAAGTGCACAGGATGGTCTAGTTCACAGAGTGAACAGGATGGCCAAGTTTTGCTAAAGCTCTGGCAGCTCTGACATGAAGTTCATGTATGAAAAAATCTGAGTGTGGTATGTCCAAATCATCTGATATATAGGGTCTAAGTCAAGTAAACAGGGTCCACAATCAGTGGACACACCATGTCAGACCTTTGAGCTCAAGCACCCAGGGGCGCACTGATTTCAGACCCTAAGTAGTTGAGGGTGTGTACGGAACTGATTGCCCCAAGCCCTGGAGAAGCCTAAGTGAAAAGTTTGCCTAAGCCTAAGTAAAACCGGTAGTAGGTTGGAGGCCATCGCCAGTAAGTAGGTTGGAGGCCATCGCCACAAAGTTGGAGGCCATCGCATCGAGTCAGGTTAACAAACTGGAAAATTGGAAGCTGACATCGAACACAGCTGCAGACCTGGAAACCTAAGCAGCCTTTGCCTTTCAGACCTTACAAGTGGACGCTATTTTACAACACTCACAACCAATGCAGGTACATGGGACCGGCCAGGTCCCACATCCCGCGATATCACCCAGCTTCGTTGGTCAAGATTGGTGATATCGCGCCATGACCATCTGCATTTTAACACCGAAAGGTTACCTTTGATTCCAAGGTGTCCACACACACCAAAAAGTAATATACTACCCTCAGGTGAGACGGGACCTTATGGTCTTTTTTTTGAAAAGGGACATGCAGATGAGACAGGACCTTATGGACAAATAGATTCATGCACATCAGCTTTAGCAAATGAGACAGGATGTTACGGCCCTTCACGCGACGGTGTGTCCAGGCATGTCCAGGCCTAAATAATAGTCCAAAAAGCACATGAGTCAGGAGCTTGTGGGCATGGGCAAACTCGCTGCAACAAACAATATAAAATCAGGTCTGTTTGCTTTGGCTTTGCTGCTGAGATAGGACTATATGGTCCCCCAATTCAGATTACACACATGAGATAGCAAAACAAAAATCACATTGCCCAAATATGCACAGAACACATGAGATAGGAAAATAACATCTCAAGATCGTCCGACTACTCCCATCTCTCTTGGAGTCAGTATAATTGAAACATATTGAAACCAGAAAGCAATCTTGTTTCTACATGTTTCTATATACGACGTTCTACGTTTCAAACAAAAAGTGCTCTTGTAAGAAGTAGCACGGGGTAGCTGGTGACGTTTAATATGTCCGAAGAGGGAAACAAAGAATGTGTTTGAGCCATGTTGGACCCCTTTATATAATGTAAGAACGCCCCCGTTGCAAATCCGAGTCGTGGAATTCCCGGTCAAAGGATTCGCGAGTCAGCGTTTGCAAGTACGAGGTGAACCTTTCTTTATATATCTGGTCATATCATCGTCTGCAATGAATCGCTCCAGGCTTCTCTTTGCACCAAGCCATGCAAGAAACCAGGATTTGTTCGACCCCAGCCTCGTCCGAAGCAAGCTCCCCACGCAGGTGATCGGCTAAGGAGTGACCTGCAAAAAGGATGCCATTGCATTTGCCGAACAGTTCTTTTGATCCACACAGCTCCCTCCAGGCATTTCTGCCGGGTGCGGAAAACTGCAAAGCCGTCCATCCATGGATCCCCACCTGGCAAATCCATCCATGATCCAGGTGATAGGGTCACAGTGGATGGAGACATCGACTGCCAACTGCCACCTGGGGGTCCAGCACCTGCAAGCATACGTGCCAGCATGATAAATGATGGGGCAAGCCTAGTCGATACGAATCAACACACCTGGCTTTCAATCAGTGCAGCACACTATCACAACAAGCAGCCGCTTCAATTCAAGATTAGCTGCTTTGCTCTAAACTCTAATAATTCTGCCCCAGGTTGCACCAAGTGGCCAATGATGACGTGGGGCATCAAAGGCTTTAGCTGTCCATAGCGTAGCATGCTGTCGCCGTGGCCATCGCCATCTGGATAGCGCAGTGCGTCGATTACAGCGGCCTCAGCAGGGCCACTCAATAGAGCTCACACATCATTCAGCATGCTCTTCTCTGCCTGGCAGTCATAGTGTCATAGTGCATGTTTTTTCTCGCTGGCACACAATACGGCTCGGTACGGAAGCAAGGGAAGGAAGGGGAAGGATGGATACGGCAGCATGCATCCAAGTGACCATTGGGTTTAAACATCTGCGCCCTGGCAGCTTGGCATCTTCTGGCAGCTTGATCTCGTCCAAGGCCTTCCCCTGCAAGCGCCGCACCAGTTCAGACACCTGCAGTCGCAGAGTTTCAAAACCAGGACGGAAGAGCACATGTGACATGTGTGTCCACTCTGGAAGCTTACTGACCTTCTCTAACATTTGTACCAGACCAGGACGTTGTCTGTCAAAACACCTTCTTCTGTCTGCTTCTAATCTGATCACAAAACAGTAGTCAGTATATAGACCGTCCGTCCGTCGGTTCTTCTCAAGCCACTTCGCTGCACACTCTGAGACGCGGGACAGTTGGGTCTCTGGCTGAGGAAGCTTTGACCTGTCACAAACAGCTGTCAAACCGTCCATTTTCAGAGTGATGTCCAGGCCTCTGGGACTAAACCACTGAGAGCTGCTGCCAGGGCCAGGGCGCTAGGTCCATTGCCTATCGTGAAAATGTGCGATTTCAGGTGTACTTGCGGAGATGCTGCACATGTCCGAAGGAGAGAATCAATACCTGAGATCTTGAACATAACTTCAACCACTAGAAGATAATCAAAGCACACTAGGCGTCACCAAGCAACCTCATCGTCCGTACCGGTCTGCTACTGCAAGAGCCACTAACTTGTTTGCATCAAAGGCCGAGTCTAAGGACCCTGGATCCTGATATGCTTGGAGACAAGAGCGGGCATTCCCAGGCATTTCTGTTCTGCTTCATTCATAGAAGTTGAGCTACATGCAGGCATCTCGCTCTCAAAAACATTGAAACAACTACAACAAAAAGACAAAAAGCTGTTCCTTCCCTTCCAACGCACATCTTCGGTTGAGAGCTCCGCACTTGGGAGACACCGCGGTGACACAAGCGATGGCCTCCAACCTACTAGCGAAACGAAAGTGAACCACGTCTAGCCCGGCCAACGATTGCGACATCTGCCACATCTTCCACCGCTGTGGACTCAACGCCCCCCATGGCAACGATGGCTACGGCGCAACTCTGATACAGTATCTCTTGAGACTCACATCTGGTGAGCAAAAAATGAGAAAAGGGTTTGAATTCTGCGGACTGGAAATCAAATGGTAAACCTTTACCAGTCGTTTTCACAAACCTTGGTCGAACTATGCTGCATGCGATCAGAATATATCAGAATCTTAATGTCTTGTTCTTTCACTTCTACTTTAGGCCTCCCACTTGTGGGGAATTTGGCCTTTGAACTTCCATTTAGAAACGCGGGAAACTGGACACTTGATGAAATGCTGTTTCCTCGAAACAGCCAAACATCGACTCTGCAGAATCTGCAAGTGCTGCACAGAGGTGTCGCCTGGCTTCACTGGGCTCCCAGCTGCAATCTGGCTACCAGTCTTTTCCAACGCCAATAGGGCCATGGCCTCGATTCCTTGGGCCAACGATAAACAAACAACGTCCTCATTCATTGTAAGAACTCAGAACTCTAACTCAGCACCTGTCTTATCTACGCGTTCAACATAATTCGACTCTCAATTTGGCCCATCTCTGACTTGAAGGGCCAGGGGTCGCTGTCGCAAGACCTTGGCTCCAACCTTCTGTGGGGTGGAACGCGACCTGGAGCGGCTCCGAGCACGGGAGCGAACAGCACGAAACGTTCGCATGATATATGTCTAGCGGGAAATGTCTGAGCCCCTTTAGGAGCCCAAAGACCTATGTTTATCTGCATGTCCAAAAAACAAACATATCATTAAACAATTCACAGAATGTCAAAATATCTCCGACACATCCACTGCCACACCTTTGCACTTGCTTTCTTTTCTAAGCTCCGAACGCTTTCGCAAAGAACGAGGCCAACTCGTCTCGCCGTGCCAGTGGAGCATCCAGTTGAGAGACCAACGCCGGTCCTGGCGAGTCGTGTCGAGGGCGCGGACCGAAGGAACGAGGATTAAGGGGATGAAGGGCATCCGCTACTAGCAACAAGGGCAACTACTAGTAGCTTAGGATTTTGAATGATTAGTGTGAGCGCTTCTTCAAGGAAGCTCCCCCCGCCCTCAGGCGGCTTCCGTGAAGAAGCGTGAGCTATCCTGCGTCCTGCCTAGAAGCTAAGTTAGACTTACTTTCTTGAGTACGTAGTCTCTACTTCTATAATTGAGTAGCATGGGGCGGGCCATACAATTAATATATTGGATTGTCAGGTTGAGGTAGGTTGAGATCTTTTCGTCTCATGGTTGAAAAGTTGTATGCGTGTGGTGTCAGCAAAATGTCCACGTGTTCAACATTCAACACATGTCCTGCTGCAAACGAATGCACACAGGATGAATCACAGTTTCCCGCAAAACCCAAATCGCGAACTCATTAACTCTGGGATGATTCTCTGAAGCTGGGTTTCGCAGTCAAGTTGTGGTGAACTCAGACATCGTCCAAGGTTCAATTGGTGTTGCGTCTTGGATACTAATATTGCAATATAATGTATTGATTCATATCCTTTGCGTATGCTTTTAATGGTGTCAAGTCATGTCAAGTCTATTTGTTGCGCCATACTCTGTCTTCCCCGATGCTGAAGCACTAACGGCACCAATTTACAACACGATTCAAACAAGGACCTCTGTCACCACGCAATTTGGGTGCGCAGAATGACCAAGGTCCTTCGCTGGGGGTGAGTGCAGGAAGGCCTCCACACCTCGCAGGCTAAGGCTAAAGGAGAAGTCTCAGCATGAGAGGAAACATAGCATCAAAGCTTTCGATATACAGTGAACCGTGTCAGCCAAAGCCAGCATCCACTGATCTTATTGTGAGAAACTGGCCGGCCGTGCTTGCGACTGTTTGCGAATAAAAGGAGCAAAGGCAGGAGAGGCTGCAAGATGAGGAACCAATGAGGCTACGCTCAGTTCCGAGGCAGAGTCGGGGAGAGTGATGCGTAGCGCACACCAGATCGGCTCACAAAATGCATCCGAAAGGCGTCTGTTCAAAAAGGCCCAGGAGATCCTTCCGCTTTGATGATGTTTTGACCAGTGCCTCTTGTCATCTTTCCTCCTACTAAACATGAACATCCCATCTTAGCGCCCGGTATGCAGCTGGACCTTAAAGGCCGCGAAAGCGTTGCGTCGGCCCTCAGCCAAGGCGCTTCTGGCAGGACACCTCCAGGAAGGCCTTCTGAAGCAACAAGCCCATGTGGTAGGTGGACAAAAATCAGCTTCTACATCCCGTGTCAAAAGAATGGCAGGTCATTGGTTTATCAAGAATGTTCAGCATCTGCGGCAGACTGCTTCATAGTCTAAGAAGTATCTTGGAGCATCTTAGAACTGCAACCGAAAACTGATGAACAAAGTCTGGTCTCTCTGAAGCTTCGAAAAACATCGGTCTGCACCTGTGGATCAGCTTCGCCACGAAGCACTCGCAGCTGCAGCTGGGAGCTGGCAGCCGGTGCAAGGCGTTCAATTGATCCCTCAACTCGTCCAAGAAAGGCAATGAACGGTATGATACCAAAATGATCCTAACAAGCATTAGATCTGCTGAAGGTGATGTTGATGCAGTTCCGTGGAGTACAGCTTCCTGACAACTACGACCATTCTAATTGAAGTAGGGGCTCCAGGGGCTCCTGGCCTTACTACTAGGAGCAAGGACGCTACTAGGGGCTCCTGGCATCGCTTCTAGGAGCATTCTTACTACTAGTAACAAGAAGCTACTTGGGGCTCCGTAGGGGCTCCTTCCATCCATCATGATTGCCCTCCTTGCAAACACTGCTCAACTTTGCCAACGAACCTAACTCCGCTATCGCATACCCAGACATCCCTGCCTGCCAGGCTCCTTGCAATGGTTAACTCTACTAACCACCACAAGCCTATAATGCATTTTAATGCAAACTCTTCCCCTGGTGCCAGGCAGCCGAAGAATGCATCCCAGGCTTGGCACAAATCAGCCCTAGAAGAAATCTGTCTCTTGGTGTTGCACAAATGTATGGCTGTAGTAGCATATGCACTACAATTACAGTATGTGATCAAACATGAGCACACTCTTATCTGTTCAGACTTAAATTCTTGCACAAGTTCGATCGTCTGCCTGCAACGAAGAGCTGACAGGCTACGTCCTGTTTCCAGAGCTGTTGATAGAAGGCCTTTAGCACCTTCTCCGCAAGGCCTGCTGGCAGCTTGTACCTCAGGTTACTGAACCCTGCACGGAATTGTCGGAAGGATTCAGAAGGTGCAGGCAAGCAAGGACACTTATGACCCTGAGTGCACCACTATTCACATGGTTGGTTCCCTAGAACAACTAAGACTGTTCGACCAGCAACTCTGTAGCAGCTAAACTGTGATTCCATGTTTGTCCAACTTCCGGATCGTCCGATGAATTACAGTGCTTCTGGGACCAAGATGCTCAGATGGATGCTCCAGGAGCAGCCTGCAGTCGTGTGTGGTGAAGTGGCAAGAAGTTGCACTCCCATCTCTCAAAGGAAATCTTTGCCACTGGGGGGTCGGGTTGCAACTTCATACCACTTCCCCTATTGTGGTGAATCTGAGGAATGCCTGGTACCGAGCAACAAGGACAGGACACGGTGCTTTTCAAGAAAGAATCCTTTTTTGCTCTCCATGACCCATGTCCTCATGTGCCTCAACCGCGAATACCAGGCAGGCTGGCCAAGTGGTCCGGTGGGTATTTTATCACTGAGCTCGTACCGTAAGTCTTGATTCTGAGCTGGAGCCGCGAGCAGCTGCTTGCCACTGACAAGTATCCAGGCCTGAAGTGTCTGTCCCCTTGGCTTTCTGGCTCAGTCAGCCTCTCAAGCCTTACACAATGAGCAAGGCATCTGGCTTGGGAACACAGGTTATGAGTCTATGACTGCAAAAGGTTGTTTGTCACACAGCATGAGCATCCACACATCCATGACCTATTTTCAGATTCGATGGCTTAGTCGAAATCCTTAGGCCCTTGACTTAGTCGACATGTGAAAAAATCTAGCCAGCAACATGCCTTCACTTCCATGCTTTTGCACGCAACCAAGGTCGCTGCAAACCAGAAGCCTTTTGGAAATCACTTGGAACCTGTTTGAGGCAAAACAGTCCGCGGAATGACTCATATATAATTTTGGGAAGAAGACTCGGCCGCTACAGTATTGCACCAGGGAAACATGGATCATGCTGTATCATATCATGGTATTCAAAAGTGCGGCTTATACTGTACTTATGGATTGTGTAAGTTAGCCGATGGAACGGCAGAACATTCAAGTATCCTAGCTGTATCCTTTACGGTTATATATGGCTGTGAACCGTCCAAAATGATCCAATGTATGCACCACACGCTCACAAAAGGCTCAACCATTCCCGCACAAATGTGATCCAAAGTGCTGCCAGTCCTGCAAGTCCAAATTTCCTGTGGACAGCTCTGCGGCAAGCCGCTGCAAGGCCTGCATCAAGTTAAGAGAGACGAGACATTGCAGATCATTGCAACAAACAGCTGGCAGTGCTGGTGCAAGCAAGCTGGCCTTTTTGGATTCTAGTGCAAGGGTTTGTTGGAAAAACAGTTTCGGCCGGACAAGCAAGCCAAGGCTGCACGGATGTGCTTCTCATCTAAGGATCTTTCGTCAAAAAAACTCAAAGATCTGAGAGTCCTAAACCGTCTAAGGATCAAAAAACCAAAAGCAAAAGCCTTCTGGTCTGTGCAAAGAGCAATGGTTCGGGACTTTGGAACCTCAGGACTCTTCGGGACTCTCGCAATGGCCACATGCTCAGTGGACATGTATCGTTTTTGGGCTTCCGAAGAGCATGCAGTGGTGGTAGTAATAGTAGTCGTCGTCGTAGTAGTGGTGGTGGTGGTGGTAGTAGTGGTAGTGGTAGTGGTAGTGGTAGTGGTAGTGGTAGTGGTAGTGGTAGTGGTAGTGGTAGTGGTAGTGGTAGTAGTAGTAGTAGTAGTGGTGGCAGTGGTAGTGGTAGTGGTAGTGGTAGTGGTGGCAGCAGTAGTAGGACTTACTAGTAGCACTAGTAGTACTAGTGGCAGTAGTGGTGGTAGTA